ACCGGGAAATAGTGCGAGCGAAAAAGTGAGCGTTTACTCGGGCAGCTTCCGAAAAGGTAGCACACACACATACATACATACATACATACATACACACACACACATCGGTACTGATTGTATGTATGTATCACAGTGCCAAAGGACCTGACGTAGCTGAGTTCCGTCCAATAACATCACGAACATGGGATACCAACAGTGCATACCAGGACCGTCTTAGAAATTTTAGTTATATCGTCTTTTCGACTAACACAGAAAATGTAAATGCGTTTTTTGATGTAGCGGGACAGGGGAAGACTAGGAGAGCCAGCCTGACGAATCAGATGCCACTGAAATGAATGAGTAGCTTACCACAGCTGGTTTCAGATTTGATTCTTTTTTAATTTTTTTTCTTTTGTAAAAGACAACCTTCTCGAGTGTGACCACTCTTTCTTCAAGTCGATTCTTTTCTCCATGCGTATCCTGCAATTGACGCTGCAAATCGGAAGCACGCCCTCCAAGATCATGTACGCGCTGCTTGTATTCGCGAAGTTCACTTCTAAGGGCCGTCAGTTCGTGCTCCAGTTGCTGCTTCTGATTGTTAGCGTTTGCAAGATCGTTTTGCGCACCGGTTATCTGCAATTTGAACGAAAAATTAGCACTGTTTCGCTTATCACTTATCAGTAACACGTGCGAGAATATTAAAATACAGATCTTAACCACAGCTTGCAATTTTTAATAGCATCATGTCAGCTTTTGTTCAGACATATTGCACTGGCCAAAACAGCTGTCAGACCCAGCAGCGGCTGACCGCCAGGCGATACATCGTTGACAAAGCAAGCTGGAAAAGTTATCAGTTGCTTACCAGTTATGAGTTATGATTGATCCATGTTTTCCATGAGACATATTGGTAGACGATTTTTCTTATTTACAGCAACAGTATACCTGATCCCGAAGTATTTGATATTCACTGATTGTTCTGGATTGGTAATCCGAAGTTTTGCGAAGCTCCAGCTCGACATTTTCCGCCTTCGTAAGCTCTCTTTTGAGCCTTTCTAGATCTTCTTTCATATCTGTGCATTTAATATCGCTCAGTTGTAGTTGTCCGGACAGTTCTTTCACTCGCTCATTCAGTGTCTAAATTTGTTCAGATTTTGATTTTTATCAGGAAAAAGAAGTCTTTGGGTTTTTAAAAAGTAAAAAAATTGCTCGTAAAGAAACAAACAGCCATTCTTATGAGAGACCTGTTTTTCACTTTCAAGATTTGCCATCAACAAGTTAAGACGTTGTGTTTCTCCTTCCTTGTCTCGAAGTTTGCTCTCGAGTTGAAATCTATTTGCATCCCATTGCTCTTCATGTTCACGTAGGCTGCGAAGATCCGCGTGTGCACTCTCAAGATCATTGCGTAAATTCTTCAATTGCTCCTGAAAATACTGCTGTCAGTTTAAAGAATCACATACTGTCTTGACATGAATCTTACGTTCAGTAGTTAGATATCAAATCAATGTCAAAAAGTCAAAACCCCTTCTTTATTTTGCTCTCAGTGAGAGGCAGAGACACTAGGAAAGTAGCCCGAGTAGTAGCAAGTGCCGACAGCAACCATCCGCTGGCAAAGCTGTCGGTGGCTTCTTCTTCTGAGAGTTGCTTACATACAAGCAGATGGCGCGTTTGACTCCCTGGTATATATCAATACCAGTTTGCCATTGAAACGGTTCATAGAGAGATTTTTTGTTGCACGCAAAGTCAAACCTCCAACCTGCTACCCGACAACAGGGCTATCCCGTTGTGCCTACCGACGCTTAAATTATATATTTAGTTAATACGTGATAAATTATATACAATTGAGAATACTTACTTGACACCTTAAATACCCTTAGTAAAATTTATTTGAACAGCAGTTATGATTCTGCCTAAATCCAATAAATAACCTAGCGTCTAGCGTTAAATAAATATCATTGTTCAAATGAACGCTGAGGGGATATGCATTCTATGGATTCGAGAAAGATCACTGAGTTACTAGCATTGAGATGTCGAAGTTGGGCATCTTTTCCACGTGCTTCTAAATCGGCAGCCACCATTTTAGCTTTGAGCTGACGTCGCTCTTCATCACGCTGCTTCAGTGCTTCTTCCTGTGAGCGTAGTAGCTGCTTGGCTGATGCCAACCGCACTTCCATCGCACGTTTCTCTGGAAAAAAATTCCCTTTTTTCTGAGAAATTTTAGCTTATCCTCAAAATCAACTTCTTTTAAATTTCAGGAATTGGTTATTACAGTTCAGACAATCGATGTGCACCTTTGAATAGTAATGTCATTAAACTGCAACCGGAGGCCCAGCGCAGCTATTCAAGCTTTCCTCTCCTAAAGGCTGCGTCTATATGCGAATTGCCCGTTGTTGGTCACAATTTATGGGCATCATTTCAGTAGGGATTGTTTGCCTTCCTAAAAATTTTTTGATTTTTCCCAGTTTTTTTGAATGGGCAGATGTGAAATTTGTTGCTTCAGTACTCCTTTTTTGCGCTAGAAATGCCTGTTTGGTGTAATTTTTTTGAGGATTCATACCGTCTTCCATGTCGGTCAGATTTTCTTCGATGGTTTTGTAGCGGGTCTCCCGTTTGTGAATTGTTGTGTGAGTGTCGCTCGTCTTTTTCTTCAGACGATCAAGAGCCTCACGGTACTCGTTCTGAAATAGCAGTGATCGTCAAAATCACATTAAAAAACAGAAAGCCCTTTTGTGACAAAAGACCCGTTGACTGTGAAGATGCAGTTGTACTGTCTTGATTCTCAAGCTTTTTGCACTACCTACCCGCTCACGCTCTAGTCTTTCGATTCGACCGATCAACGTCTGAAGTGTGCTTTCAAGCTGATTAATATCCAGTGTTTCGCCGATATTGATTGTTGTGCCTGTAAAATCATCAAATGAGAGCTGGAGACTTTGATACTGTCAAGCAAGATGCAGACACATGCGTTCAACGATGCTAGCCTTTCTATTTCTGTCTCTGGTGTTAAGCTTCATGACTTCCTTGGACTAACAGCCGCCAGTCAAGTTGAAGGTACCGTTCAAGCTTACCTGTAGGAAATGCGACGCAGCTCCTCTCAGTTTGCATAGGATTTCCAAGTTATAAAATTTGGGCATTTGGTTATTGTAATGCCTGTGTTACGCCAGCCCGCTCGGGAGGGATTTCATGAAAAAACTGTCTGTTTAACGTCAAAATTTGTCGTTGATTGGTCCCTTTGTCACTTTTTCAAGATATTTTGTACCATCGAGCAATATATGCAGAATGAACGGAACCTCCGGTGCGCACTCCCGTAGTAGTATAATCAACTGATGCGGGGAACGGCAATGAGCGAGGTAGCTCAGTTTCAACTGGTTGATCACGATCGATATCCTCCTGAAACATTATAGACTGAACGAGACTTAGCATTTTGCTTTTACGGTTTTAAGTGGCACTTTGAACATCAAATCAACAAAGTGAAGTGAATGCTGCTGAGGATGCTAACCTTGACTCTGTGCAGCGTCACCGCGTGTGTGGTCACGGAATAGAAACGTCGAAGGGAATCGGCAAGAATGTCCCGTTCGCTTTCCGCTTTGTTGTAATCTTGTTGTAGCGACGTTAGACGCTGTTCCGTGTTTTCAAGACGCGACTGAAATATCAGAGTCAAAATTTGTCTAAAAGATAAGTGTAGCAAGTTGTCAGGAGAAATTTAATTCTCATTTGAGGCAGCACTGGTGTACGCTAAAGTATTACAAATCACCTTCAGATCGGCAAGCTCATATTTTCTTGATTCCAGCTCCTGTAGTGCATTAAGTCGGCCGTCTTCTGCAGCACGATGAGCATTTGCTAAATCATCTAGAGATGACTGATATTCATCCGTTTTGCGTACCATTTGATCTTTGCCGAACTGCAGCTCATGTTGTAGTTTGGTGATTTCGGAGCGTAGTGTATTTCTCTCTGTTTCTGCGATAACAAGCTAAAAATATAGGTATTTTTTTAAGAAAGAAAATTTTAATTGAAAATATAACCTGATACATCCGAAAGGAAATTTGCTTTTTTCAAGTACTTATCAAACTTGACTTACTTTGTCGGATGTGTCTCTAAGATCCTGACGCATTTTGCTTAATTTGGCATCGAACGATTGGGATAGTTGATTGAGATGATCTGCTTGTTTTGCCTTTTCACGATAAATGTTTTGCAATCGTTCACGCTAAACTATTGTGTACTTGAAATTGGCTTCAGCATTCATGTTACATTAGTACGGCATTACTTTTCAAAACGGCAACCCAGACAGAGCATTATCTTTTTGAACCTCGCATGAGAAATCATTCTCCATACAAGTGTTGGTTTGTTCATTTTTGTGCAACTGATTAGTTTAATTTGATACAGGTTTAACCTAGCATGCTTGCGGCACGGAATATATCCCGCTTCCAGTGGTAAAACTGTCAGTAGATGATCGACAAAAGTGCTGCCGTACAATTGGCTCTCTCAAAATGAGACAAAAAATTAGCCTTCAGACAATTCTTTAAAACTGCCGTTTGTTTGTATTAATGGGTATTAGTTTTTTACTTTACCAATGCCCACTTAGCATATATATTATGTTGACAGCGAGTTGTGACCATAAGACAAGCTTCAGACTCTTCTACGCCCATCGTAGCCATTTTTCCTTCGGCTGCTTATTAATTCTGGGCAGAAGCGCTTTGTACCACCCAAACCTAGTTGGAAAAAATTTCATGCAACGTCTATTTGCACCTCTTTTCGAGTAATGGGGGTATTAAAATATCCAGCCCTAACCTATCTGTGCTGAACGCCGCGATAGCTTAGTTCCAAATTCAGACAGTGCGGAATTAATGCGCTTTTTCTCGGAAAAAAAAGCAAATTTACTTCTGCTTTCAGATGATCAAGTGCATTCTTTTGTTCTTTGACAGTCACTTCGTATTGCTGGATTTTTTTGCGGAGACGATCGAGCTCCGACTCCTGGTTCGAGTTTGTACTCTGAAAATCCCAAAAATTTTGTTTTTGTGGATTTGTTGGTTCATTTTTTTAGTAACTGATTGCCAAAGAAAATCACTGAATTGCTATCTAACGGAGTGATAGAGATGTACCCAGGGTCCGAAAATAAACGTGCATTCCGGATTTGGTGCACGTCTACGGGGATGATGCCAAGCCTCTTTTCCTACCATCATTTATTGTTTAGCTTATTAATACCTTAAGTTGCCTTCTAGAGACTTAGTCTGCAAAATTTTAGCTCATTTAAACAATTTTAGCTGATGCCTGAATCATTTAAATTTTGACACTCCTTCAGTCTAGTTTGATGTACTCACT